TTTATCACTGCTGTGGTGTCAGCGATAACACTGTCGTAGTATCATGCTGACTAAAGTAATTCCCGACCCTAACGTCATCCAATTGCAAACGATACAAACGACAGACAATAGTTGAATACATACAGTGTGCTGAATAAACTGATATGCCGCCCGGCATTTCTATCCCCGTTTAACCGCCTATAATTAAATTGTGTCTTTACGAAACATCACATTCTGCAAAAATAAATACTGCTCTTTTACGAATGGCTACTGAAAGTACCTAAATTTCATCTTATCTGATTCTGCTATTGTGGATTTAATGTGACCATAGTGGTAATCACACAGCTTCTATTATTTCTTGGAACTTTTCAGTGTACCAAGCATTACACTTCACCCAAGCGTGCAATATAAATCCAGAGGACATATTAAAAATTTAAGGTGACTGCACTATTACGGCAGCCAGATTAACAATGTTTGGATTATATCCGGCTATAGGTAATCACCTTCGATTAGTGCACCACGTTTGCTTAGTTACATAAAACTCTCATTTCTCTGATTTTTCTGTCCAGGAAGTTGTGGAATTTATTGCAATTAGTTAACTTTCGAGCCCTCAAACTGTGCGTATAATCTTGTTCACTGATACTTCCAATAACTGAATGCTTGGAATTTTGTGACTGCTTAACAGTAACTTATATCTATATTTGTGTATAACGTTGGATTTGAATACCCAAGTTGACCCAAGTCAGTGAGTCTTTGGTTTTTATATCATTTTTGTTAATTGTATTTCACCGTGATACTAATGTTACGGTTTTTTGTTGTCGCTACACTTCCTGTTGTGAATTTTTTTCTTTTGCTGGTGTCGTTCTGACTGTTTTATTCCATGTATTCCTGATTCTATGGGGAGCAATCCCAAAAGTCGCTCCTCTTTAAACCATATATTCATGTAACAACCTCCTTCCCGGCCGTGTGGGTAGCAAACCCACCCTGTAAACAAAGCTGCTACAGAAACTACAGTACGATGAGTCTTCTTGCGACAAAAGAAAAAGTCTCTGTGGGGACATGGAACGTCCGCACCATGTATGAGACTGGCAAAGCTGTCCAGATTGTGAAATGAAAAGAAATGGCATTCAAGTACTTAGAGTATGGGAAAGTATAAGGAATGGGAGTGGACTCACCGAATTGTCAACGGGAGAGTCAGTGATATGCTCCAGTCACCTAGAAGACAACCACGAGCACACCGGAAGTGTGGCTATCATGATGTCACCAACGGCAACGAAGGTCCTTACACAATGGGAGGCGATCTTGCCCAGAATAATGACCGCCAGACTCAACTAAAAGGAAGGAAAGTGACAAATATGCAACGCTATGCACCCACAAACAATGCAGACGTAGAGAAGAAAGAAGAGTTCTACACGCAACAATAGGCAACAGTGGACAATATTCCAGTGAGTGAAATTAAAATCCTAATTAGAATTATGAAGGCCACACTGGGATCAGACAACAGAGGATGAGAACTAATTATGGGTGGGGAAGCTCTTGTAGAGATGAATGAAAACGAAGAACTCCTCTCTGACTTCTGAGTCTTCAGTGAACTGGTCGTTGGTGGCAAAGTATACCAGCACAAAATATCCACAATTCTGCATGAGTATTCCCAGGGGAGCAAAAGGAATACCCAACAGACTTCATATCAGTGCTGCTCAAGAAAGTGCAAACGGAGATTTATTATTACTTCCCTTAATTAGCAGAGGAACATAGGGCCTCAGCCACATGGCTCCATTGCGTTCAGTTCTCTGACAATGTTTCCACCTGGCTCCACTTCCAGCCACATGCTTTCACCTCCCCTCTACGTCACCTCATCCATGTCACCCTCACACTGACGACCAACTCGCCGCTTCCTGTTCAGATTTCACTCGAGGTCCTGTCGTTTGATGTCACTTGATAGTTTTCTCAGAGTTTATCCAGCCCACCTCCATTTCTTCTAGCATATTTATTGCACAATCGGTTCCTGCTGAGTCATTCCGCTCACAGAGATCCCTGTTGCTGATCTTTTCGGTCCATCTGAACTTGAGTACTGAGCGAAGGTCTGTAGTTTGTTCGAAGTGTCCTTCGTGACGCGCCAAGTCTCTGACTCGCATAGTAGCACTATCTTCACATTGGAGTTCGAAATCCGGATCTTGTTTTTCATCCTGAGTGCCGTCGACCTCCACACAGACTTGAGAGAAATGAAAGCTTGCCTTGCTTTCCGACCCTTGCTTTGATATCCTCATCAGTTCCGCCTTTAGTTGAAAAGATGCCTCCCAGCTTTCTCCCATTTATGTTGATTGTTGTCTGTTGTTCTTGCTGCTGTTGGTGTTGGCCAGGAATCCTCACCTATCCTTAATGCTTCTTCTGACAGCTTGTTGCTTTTCATTTGCATATCTCCCAGTTTGGGAAATCAGGCACAAATCGTCGGTAAAACCCTAATCCAGATCCTCCAAGTTTTTGTTTGGATCCATTTTGTGCCTGTTTGCCCTCTGCCCACTGTCTCTCGCATTGCCCAGTCAACTGCAATCAGGAAAATCACTGGAGATAGTAGGCAGCCAGCTTGTCTTACTCCCGTACTCACTTCGGAGGATTTCGTGAGTTTTCCGTTGTTGATTACTTGGCATGCAGCTTTGTCGTACAGCTGTTTGATGGGATGTATAACTGTTGGCGGCACTCTGTAGTAGTGAAGTAGTTGCCAAATCTCTCTCGAAGGTCTTTTCAAAGTCGATGAAGTTGAAATAGAGAGCTGACTGCCATTTCAAGGTGTATTCAATGATGATCAGTAATGTGGCGATTTGATCAATACATGACTTGTTTCTCCTGAATCCAGCCTGTTCCGGTCGAAGTTTTCCATCCGGGCCTCGTGTCTGATTCTCTCCTGGATGATGCGCTCTATTATTTTGCTTGGGATGGACAGGAGCATAATGCCGCGTCACTTCTTGCATTCAACTAAGTCTCCTTTCTTTGGCAGTTTGAATAAGTATCCTTTCTTTCAATCCTCGGGTACTTTGCCCTCCTTCCACACCTTCTCCAGTAGTGGTGTCGTCAAGTCCGCTGTTGTCTCTGGGTCCATTTTCCGTGCCTCCGCGGGGATTCCGTTGGATCCTTCTGCTTTTCCAGCTCTCAGCATCTTTGCCTCCTCCAGGATTTCCTTTTTCGAGGGGGGGTAAATGTCCACTGGTAGTACTGCTTCCGCTGTTGGTATTATTTGATGCCTTGTATGTGGCTGTCGATTTAGAAGTCTTTTGAAGTGTTCAGGCCACTGTTTCTTTCGCTCCACCTCTTTGGTGATTGTCTTTTCACTGTCATCCTTCACTGGTTTAATTTGAGCTGAACTTTCCCTTGAAGGAACTTAATTGTTTCGTAGAGTGTTGCGAGGTCTCCTTTACCTGGAACTTGTTCTGCTTTACTCGTCACAGATTCACACGACAGGCTCCCGAGTGGAATCTGAACAGGAAGCGGCGAGTTGGTCGTCAGTGTGAGAGTGACATGGAGGAGGTGATGTAGAGGGGTGGTGAGAGCATGTGATCGGAAGTGTAGCCAGGTGAAAACGTCATCAGAGAACTGAACGCAATGGAGCCATGTGGCTGAAGCACTATGTTTCCTTAGGAATTAAAGGATGCAGTAATAATCATGATAGTTAGTTTGCTAATAAGCTTTGGAAAATAATCGTAATTTGTTCACATATTGGTAGCTAGTTTTAGTAGTGATACATAGATAGCTACATAATGATTCCTGCTCACTGTTTAGCGACTTAGGCTCTAGACAGGTCAGTCACTTAACTGAAACTCATTGACGGTTTATTTTCAACTAGAATCAACGGTAATCCTTTTTCGCGATCACCTACACAGATCGTCCTAATTGTGGGCCTCAGAAAAGTGTGACACTCTAACCTGGCTCAACATCTGCTTTGTATTCACTTGCATATAATCACATATTAAGGTTTGAAAGAGTGAAGATATTAACCAGCAATAAAGTTAAGTTAAAAGAGATCAATCACTGAATCCTTAGTAATCGACTCAACACTGCACACATATAGCGGAGGCTATGCAGCCCCTATACTGAAGATATGGAAGGTGGCGACAAACAACAAGGGAAGGAGAGAAAATGGGTGCAATACATATACATATATTTATGAGGCAAATTAAAGGGCCATTGGACTAAACTTATAGAATTACGAGCAATAATTCTGTGCTTAAAACGTCATCCAGCTATTAATACTGCATCACTGTAATTATTTTGAATAGAGTTACCTATTATGGAACTAAATTCTAATACACTGCCCATTTTGTACACTACCATTAACAAACAATAAATTAGAAATCTAATTTAAATAGAGTCTACCAGAAACTAAACAGTAACCACAGAGAAGGCAAAGATTTTTTCAGTGAAGTGCCCTGGTGTTTAACCTGACTCACTAAACTGGATGGAATATGAAGGTGCAGTTATTAGGCATATCACAGATGGTGAGGAGGTACTTTCTCAACAGTAACTCGTAGCATTCATTAGGATTTAGGGTACGAAAATTAAGCTCGACAGGTCATGATGTTCAGCATGAATGCGGGTTCACTGGCTTATAGCAGTGTGGTATATGTCCACAGGAGTTTATATGTACGTATATTAACCAAAATTTTGTAAGTTCACTTGGTACAGGAGGTAGACATGCACACAAGTGATAAATGAATCGTTAGAATCCAGTATGTCTAGAAGAATTAATGCACCGCAGAGACGTGAGTGCGTGTACTGACTTCAATAGATGCGGCTTTTCGGAATTCTACGGGGCCCTTGAATGTCACTGAAGTCGAAACGATATTTTGAGGTCAATTAGGTGCAAGACTTAAGCTTAGCATAAAATGGACCGTGGTGTGGGTTCTTACATGATATATTCTTAGTACTTTGGTTTATATCAACTTATTGTTTGAACTAGCTAAGTGGTTCATACTTCCAACCATTGCTCATTTCAAAACCTTCGCAGTTGGTTGGTTCCTTACGTGTTCACTCAAGATTGTTTCTGTTTGTCAGCTCTCAGAAATTTATGCTTGTTAAAGAGGTTCTTTTATTTATTTTAGCTTTTTTGACACTGGTATCCTCATCCAAATAGATAGTGACATACTCAGAGTGTACGTAACTTACGTAATTTGCTTATATAACTTGAATTATGGACTGGCTAAGACTCGAAACTTATAAAGACAATATCTATCGTCGCTTACCCTGCTGTATTTATTCAGGATATGCTGATTTTTACTTCAGTGATCGAAAATGACAGTCATCTATAATTTTTTTCCAGTGATATATCCCTTTTCAATCTTCTGAATTTCGCTCCAACTTAAAATACTCTCTCATCCCTCACTTTCTAAAACATTTGTAGCCTTCGTACGATACTTATGTGGTTTTCTTCGCAAGTATTTTTAACGGAAAAGCATTTTACTGATTTGGAGCAAATATGTGAAAAATTTCAAAATTGGTTGAATCATAGGAATGTGACATATATATTCCCTTTGGATAAAGCCGTGATTTTTTGTTTGGAAAAGTTTTCAAGTTCTTATCAGTGGAATTTTCAGTGAGTTAACTCCTAGAAATTCATTTTCAGATCTTAACATTGGGAAGGCTGATATACTGTCATAATTCTGGAAATTTCCTTATGTCGTTGGGATGAAGTGTTAGTCTGACTATTTTGTTGGAACGACGTTCGACCGTATCTTGAAAGTCCACTTCCCCACAAGAATTAAAGCACATTTTATAATGTGTCTTAGTTAAAAAACTTGGTATGCATGTTTTGTCAATATCAGTTACGTCGCAATTGTGTGATGCATTTGCGCGAAGTATTTGCATAGGTTCACAAACATAACTACAAACGGATTGATTGTTAGATGCAGGAAACATGCACTTGTTGATATACTTTTATTACTGTTTCAATCTTTACAAACTTAGTTACGACTCCGGAATGTTTTAGAAAATACTTTTGTAACAATATTATTTTGTTGCTGTTGTCTATTTTGACCATGAGGCGCCTATAGACGCGACACTTGCAAATATTTCTCACACTGAGGTAGACACAAAAGTTTACCTCAACTGCGACAATAACTTTTATTATACGAAATACAGAGTGCATATGTCGTTTACGCGTCCACGGAAATTTAAACCATAAGTAAATAATCAATATCTGAATAAATGCATGGTCTTGAAGACCCTTCAAAACAGATCAACCAAAAATTGTCCAATCATATTATCATTTCACTGCACGCATAACTTGTCTAATATCGACAGGTCGTCCATTCCAACAAATATGCACTAAGTTAGGAGCGTTTTGACCATTCATTCAGCTTGCTGCTAGTAGCAACTGTTTTCTCAGTTCCGAAAACGGACCTTGTCAGCTCATTTGAGGAAGTGATATAGCATCCTTCAAATCTTTTTACGAATATTAATAGCGATGATACCCTGGGCATGTTAAAGCAAGGCTTCACATGAAGCTGACTATTCAGCAGTGATATACTTAAGGAGGTATAGCTACGGAACCCATGTAGATCACTTGTCATCAGGAGTTTGCCCTTACGAAAATATTCTGAGAACAACATTCTCTATCTTTCATAACTTTCAGGCTCCATTTTCGAAGCCCCTCACATATGCGTTGATGCTGGATTCCTTATTAAGAAATACGAATTCACATTTTGAGTACATAGAGCTTAGCAATTTTAGTTTTCTTCCAAGTGTCCCAAATCATCAAAAGGGTTTTAGTGTTGGAAAATTATCATTCTGATTTTTATTTTCTATGTAGTTCTTTTATTCATTTATTTCAAATTTGAATGGAGTAATAATTTTAGCGTGAAGCTGTTACTAGGTCTGACACATTGAGTATTCATGACATTGAACTTAATCTAATTACTTCGTTTTATTTATAAGTGTGTGTACTTGGAAGAACCAAAATCTGGCTGAAATATGTTCACTGACTGCTGCAAATGACAAATTTTCTTTTGGAATGAGAAATTAACATCATGTAATAATGCATGCGACAAGAGAAGAAAGGAAGTCAACAAAAACAGACAATAATTACTTTCGTTTACTTACTCAGAGATAAAAGCATTACATTTTAGTAGTTTGAATTCTTCGTAAAATACTATTATGAAGTAGGAAATGAAGAGTTGTTATCCTGACTATTCACTGTCGTCTGGCTGTTGGAAATGAAAAATTTTGATATAGATTGGTTATGCCACCAGGTGAGTTCTGTAAGAGCTGGTTTACCCAAAGGCGAAGGGATTAATAAATTTGCTGGGAAACCTATGGTGCACGTACACTGGCATAGTATGTTAGAAAATAGAAAAAGGGGCTATTATGTTCCGCGTGGCTTTTCTTCTCTGCTAAGTGAATATCAGCTTATCACATGAATTATTTTGTTTAAATTTCAATTATTATATAACTTGTACACTATTCAAAATTGACGACTTTGTCTTAAGATAATTACTGTTACCCACTACAATTATAACTTTCTCATACTGGTAGTATATATATATATATAAATTATATATGCAGTCTTAGCATCTATCGAAAAAGCTATCCAAGTAGCAATAAATACTTAATTGATTAAAAGAATTCGAGAAAAGAAGGATAGTTTTGTTTTCCATTTGGAGCAGTAATCGTAGTAAATAATCACCATCACCAACTTCAATTTATTCAGAAGTGTGTATATTCTAGATCCACTTCGATAAAGATGCGAAGTTCTGAATCTTGAGCCTAATATTTAATTATTGAGAAGTAGGTTTTTTTCTTGGTCCACTCACCAATGTTTGGGTGTAGTTCACCAGTTGATTTAAGAATCTGTAGGCTATCGCTAAGTTGCATGGTCTCTAAAGTTATTTAACAATTAGCTTAATGGAAGGGAACGGAATAAAGGCACTTACCACTAGCAACTTATTCATCTGTGCAAGAGCATGTTTAGTTATTTTGCCGTCCATTTTCATCAAGTGATTAATAAGAGCAATATGGTTGAAGGTACTGAGTTAAGATTACAGGTAAAGCTGGATTACTTTGGAGATGGAAATTGGTATTAATTACTGGTGTAAATTGCCCGCGTGATATTTCGCGAATTTTTTTTAAATTTTGTGCTAATGTACATGTGTATACTACTTTTAAGACTAATTCGAACTGTTAATTACATTACTAATTGGTATTTTATGTTTTATTATAGACAAATGTTTTTTATTATCTAGTTGCAGGTCTATCACACTTTCCCTCCCTGTCAAATGCATTTTATAAACTGCATTTCTAATGTCTACACAAGATAGTCTAGTAATAAGCGGACATTTGGAAATATATCTCCGAAATACATGGATACCTATCAAAGCCACCTTAAAGAATGACGCCCTGATCATTGAGTTAGAACACTGTCCTAGTATTTCTACTACTAATAACGGTGAGCTAGTTTTTTATTGAACAAGTGTTGCTTATATCAATATTGGCTCTATGGTACTCTCCTGAAATTGTCTTTTTAGTTATCTAATGTTTAGTATGATGTTTTAGAAGAAGCGTGCGTCTGTGGTCCAGTTGTAGAATGCTCGCCAACCTCTCACGTGGTCCGGGGATCGATCCTTGGCCAACGCACTTCTAAACCTCACCAAGCCGGTAAAGAGGGAAGGTTGGGCTTGAAGCTAGTAACCTCACCCCGCAAAAATGAAACTACTGCTACTGAAACTTCAAAGCCCTAGCTCGAACCCCTATGTTCTACTGAGGACATAAATGAATGAAATAAATGATAATAAATAAATTTGGAGGAAGTGGTGTGCAGATGTAAGTCAGCGTAGACTCGCTTTTTAATTTTGAAGTCTGAAGGTTCTGATAGTAACTGTATTTAGTCACTTGCTTGCACGATACGCAAACACTCCAGATTTTATGGTTAGTACTCTTTACATATTCACTGACGGAGCTAAAAGAAAACTATGCTCTACAACCATCAAAAGATTCGAAAGGGGACTGTACTTGAGATTTTGAGCGAAGAAAATAAGTATATCTAAAGTGGATTTTCAACTGTTTTCAGTCGCTGTTGCACAGACTGATTTTACTATACTTAAAAAGCCAGAAAAATGGATAACTGGGCATTCGTTGTATTTTTGGAAATGTATATTCCTCACATTTCCCGTGTTTTATCTTCGCTATTCCAATAAATACTTTTTCAGTCTTCGGATGAATTGGATGCATCGTGTTTAACCAGTTCACATTTTAGCTAAACTACAAATAATAACTCTTTACAACGTATGAAAATATATTCCACTGTTATAACAGTCATTCGACTGTTGTATGTTTAGCTGCATGATATCACTTTCACAGAGTTCTTTGTCCAACAGTTGTTTAAAAGTAGTAGATACATTTTTGTTCTTACCTAGTGATCTGATCTTTTCAACTAAACTTTTTGTCTAATAAAAACCAAATCAAGCGCGAAAAATTGACGGAACTCACGTCATGACCGTTTAACTGGGTATAAATTACTAAAAAAATTATAGGAATTCACTAATATAGAAAAACACATCACACGTGTTGTAAGTATATCGATTTCCGAAAGTAAACTTGAAGAGATTACTGTGGGGTTGAGTTCTGACATCATGGAACGGTTGCTACATTGTCATAAGGCATAAATTTTGTGGCGGTTTGTGACAATAGACTTAATTACCTAAAGTAAACAGAATATTATTATTTTAATTTTACTCATACATGTGACATCTTCCTGATTGCAATTGATTGGATAATGCGACAGAAAACGGCAACCAACGAGGGAACAGGCATAAAATGAACTGACACAAAAGACTTGGAGGATCTGGATTTCGCCAATGATATATGTCTGATTTCCCACAAACTGGAAGATATGCAAGTGAAAAGTAACAAGCTGGCAGAAGAAGCATCAAAGATAGGACTTCAAGTGAACATAGATAAAACAGAGGTGATGAAGATTCCTGGCCGGCAGCAACAGCAACAACAACGGACAACAATCAGCCAGCATAAATGGGAGGAACCTGAAAGAAACAACCTCCTTCACCTACATGGGAAGCATCGTCTCAACTACAGGCGGAACTGACGAGGATATCAAAGCCAGAATCGGAAAGCAAGACAAGCTTTCATTACTCTCAAATCTGTGTGGAGGTCAACAGCACTCACCATCAAAAATAAGATCCGGATTTTCAACTCCAATGTGAAGTCAGTGCTACTATACGGATCAGAGACTTGGCGAGTCATAAAGAGCATCTCAAACAAACTTCAGACCTTCATTAACAGTTGTCTTCGCTCAATACTCAAGATCAGATGGCCGGCCAGAAAAGATCAACAACAGGGATCTCTGGGAGCGAACCAATCAGGAACCGATTGTGAAACAAATAGGCAGGAAGAAATGGAGATGGATTGGCCATACGCTGAGGAAACCATCAAGTGACATCACTAGACAAGCCATTGCTCGAGTGGAACCCGAAAGGGAGGCGGCGAGTTGGTCGTCAGTGCAAGTGTGACTTGGAGGAGGTCATGCGAGGAGGAGATGAAAGCATGTGGACAGACCTGGAGCAGGGTGAAAAAGTTGTCAGAAAACTGAAGGCATTGGAGGTGCGCAGCTGAAGCCCTATGTTCCTCTAGGAACTAAAGGATACAATAATAATAATAATAATTCAGTTTTACGAAGAACTGTTAGTCACTGATTGAAAGTTGAATATATGAAACAAAGAACTACACAACGCCACTCAGCTTGAAATAATCTAAGAAGGAGTTGAATTTACTAACTATTCATGTGTATGATTCCCTAAATTGCTGAATTTAACCAAATATCCTTCAGTTCAAAAACTTAAAAAATTATGAACGAAGCTATGACTTGTACTATCGTCAAGTATACATTTTGATTGTGTAGCAAACTGATATTGTTATTGTTTCCTATAGCACTGGAAATACTACCGACTTACTTTGGTTGTTGGAATCAAATTAAATGATGTAGATTGACTAAATAGGTGAAATTTACCACTTATTTATTTGTTTCCAAATTTGAGACCTGTGTTAGACAAGAATCGTGTATTAGTAAAATTGTGTTAATGAATTACCCAGCATAAGTCGTGGTAATATTTGTGTGGTCATTTTTAGGTTGTTTGAGAATCCATAAACTCTTGCATACATCACTTTTCTATCACTTCCTTGATCATCTACTGAACATATTTTCATTAAGGATTATACAGTTAAATGATTTTTACTGTAACAATCAGTGTAGAGTCAAAGTGAAATTTTCATTTCATATTCATAATTATCTCCAAAGCTTGCAAGAAGTCTTATTCAACCACATTTCTAAGTGTTAGACTATTGAGATTTGATTGATTTCGAGTTAGGTTTCGTAATGAACCAGCTTCAGTTAGAGAAATAATGAAAACTATGAGCATTGGACAGCATTTTCATGGTACTTTGGAATACCCATAACCCCACAAAACACTGAACCCAGAAAGTTCAAAATTTCTGTGGTGCACCAGTTCACCATTCAACCATTGGATTAAAATTCAATGACCTAATAGTTCTGACTTCTAGTCGGCTTATTTGTTTTCCATTTAAGTTAAGTATTTAAAATGGCTTAATTGAATTTATATTCTTTTTCATTTGTGAATCTGACAGCTTAGTGTAAGTTAATATTATTGTACTGGAGTATTACGCATGTTCAATTTATCCTCTCAAATTATTTAAACATATTACTGATATATTTTCAGTTGTTTCTCACCTTCGAATTCCCACTTGCTTTCTTTTCATGAGCTTTATTTATTGGAAATTCTCTGATAAATTGTAATTAGTCGATGGATATTTGGTTAGTTTTCTGTATCGTTTATGTTAGTTTGCTAATAAAGTTATTGTAGAAAGTAAAAATTTACATTTAGTATGTGAGCTATTCTAAACTATTAGAAAAGTGTTAGTTAGACATTTATTAAGTTATACTTTAAGTGAAGATAAAAACATTGAAAAAAAATATTTATTTCGGGGTGCGTTTAATCACGAATTCACATTAATTAGCAAGACAATGAAAATCAAAGTAAAATTGTACAATAGTTTTCTTTTTCTGGCTTCCATTTCTTCAACATGAAGTGAACCTAGTATCGCGCTTTCTAAATGCTCTCTTGCTGATGTTAATTCATGATGAACAATTGACTTACAATTTGTTGGTTCTCTAGAAGAGTTGTATTTAGTTATAATTTCCTAGTTCAGTGCGTCGGTGGCACAGCGGCTAAGACGCTCGCCGACCATGCACATGGTCCGGGGTTCGATTCCCGGCCGACACACTCCTTTAGCTGGCTATTATTATTGCTCCCTTGGGTACCTAGTGGAACATAGGGCTTCAACTGCACGTCTCCATTTGCTTCTGTCTTCTGCTGTACTTTTCGCCTGCATCCATGTTAGTCCATATTCTTTAGCTCGCTAAGCCAGAAATAATTCTGGTAGAGAGGAAAGGTTGGGCATGAGGCTAGCAACCCCATCCTGTAAAAATAAACGCTGCTACAGAATCTTCAAGCCACTAGCTTAGAGCCCTATGTTCCACTGGGAACGTGAAGGAAATAAATAATTAATAAATAAATAAATCCTAGTTCAGATAAGAAACTGTGATCACTGCACCTGACAGAGTCGGTTACAAAGAAAGTTGTTCGTCAGCAGTACTAAATAACTACCATGTTGTACCGCTAACTGGTTGAAGGTGAGGATCAAAATTCATTGAATTTGCAACCAATGACTCAGTTAGAATTTACCTGACACCCAGCTTAATACTGACTCTTCCAATTCCTGTCATGATTCTTAGTGTTTAGTGTTGTAGTTCCCAAACTACAGTGATGCAGAGCTCTAATTATCTTTGGTACTATAGCTGACTTTAAATAGGTACGAGAATTAATTTGTGGTCATGAAATTCCTGCAAACCTCCCATGATTACTGATTATTTTTTACCTTAATCAAGCACAGATCAAATATGCAGATTAGAATTATGTGATTTTTAAACAGTTTATGATAAACACTTAGGAAGAAATATAAGTATAAAACTTGGGCACTGCGGTAGAGTGTAACTCCATTATGGATAAGATTTTATTTTGATAAATCACACAGTATACTGTATAACACTGTGATTTAGGAAGAAATGTTTGATATTAACAATGCGAACAAAAGTAATAAAATTTATCAAAAGTAGCAGAACATGAGAGAACAGTTTATCAGTTGTAAACGCTTGGCCGTCATGTACTTCGAGTTTATCGAATAAATGTAGGGTGAAATCAGTTAACTGAATTCAGCCCATTGCTCAATAGGACAGATTTATTTTTCCCTATTTTCCTCAGGGTAGAATGTTAAAAAGAGACTAGATAAGGAATGTGGGTGTGATACTTCTGTAATACTTGAAGAAAGTTTTATTTTCAGGAACTAAACAAACTTTTTGTTACTGCTTTAGAAAATCTTTAATGAAAAGTGAGTCAAATTAGCATAAATGTATGCGTTAGAAAAGTTGATAAAAAAGACGAATTCAGAAGTTTCTTTATTCCAAAGCTTGCATTTTTTTTATTTAATGCAACTGACATATGGACAACAACCAAAGATGAAAAATAAGTGCATTGAATGGGTACTGGTTGTTGCATAGACAATAAAATTCCTTAGGATTTTTGTTAAAGTTGATGAGTCCATTCGATGTTCACCGGATTATGTTGTAATTTCATATATTACCTGTTCGCTTCAATTATTACTAGTGCACACTTAAAACAGTGTGGACACCCTTAATTTCGTTAGACCAAAAATAATTCTTTTTCTTCTAGTTAAGATATTTTTATTTAGGGTTGTGTTCACCATGACTTTAGATATTTTCGAGATGTATGTGATTCGTCTTTTTAATCGATATTTTGATTTTTTAGATGAGGACATTTCAACAGCAAAACGCGTGGTACGGATAACGAAAGAAGAACTGAATGGTTTAGGCATCAGTATTAAGGGTGGTCGTGAGAATAAAACACCGATTCTGATTAGTAAAATATTCAAGGTAAGCAAAAGAGTGTTGACATGTAATTCACTCTATGCTTACTGCATTTATGAAGTGTTTAACAGTTGTGCTGTGATCCACTTTGATTTTCATCATATGTTTGCAACACAGATAACTAGACCATCAATGTTGAAAAATATTCACTGATTTAAAAAAATTAGTACACATGTATGTTCAGGTTTCATTAGTAAAAATCCTAAAACTACCATCGTAAGCCAATGTTTTATAAAAAAAATCCTGTTTACATACACTATTTACACTAAATAACATGGGGAGTTAAGAGTTTTCTGATCAAATGGGAATTTTCGAAAAACTTCATTTAGATATAATTAGAAGTAAAGGTGGATTTTTCATCGTGATTTCCAATGTAGACCAAAATGGCCTAGTATTTGATTCTTTTGTTACTCAGCTAATTTATTTGATGAAAAAATTGTCCGATTTTTCACTTAGCTCTGTTTTTGGAGAGCATTAATTCGAGCTGCTTTAACTGTAATTTTTGAAATACTTTTAAAATATGCTGACTTGTATCCCGTATGTGAACTTGGAAACAAGGCAATTTAAGTATTTTTTATAGTTCCCCGAGTGGAATGGCTTAGTTGTTATTATATATATATATATATATTTGTTCTGATAAACTGAGAAATGATTGTTTGTCCTATAGTATACTTCTTCAAATGCCATGTTTTACAGACATTTCAAACTTTCTACTTTAAGGAAGTTTCTTTTCTTGGTGTGACAGATTTGATCGATAACTGTTAAGTGGTTTGATGCCAAAAATTATAGACGTCCCTATCCTATTCCAAATTGTCGATCTATTTTGAGTCTGAATTCGCATTCCTGGTTTGCCTACATTGTCTGATTCAAAAGGGAATACACAGTGTTCCTTAAGAACATATAACTGTTTATTTGGATTTATAAAACGAAAATCAAGGAGCCAGGTATTCTGTAACTCGCTGTTGCAATGAGCTTTTATTCTCAACTGGTCCTGGATTGTACAGAAGCTAAGAAAAAGATTCAAGACAGGGACCACTTTATCCATTGTTCAAAAACTAAGTTTAAATAAGTGGGTTCAGTGATTATTTAATAGTGGAACAGAACTTGCACCTGCATCTTTCAGAAAATCAATGTGGTTCAAGTCTTGTACATACATTTCTTTGATTTTTTCTTTGTAGATGTGTCTATGCTAATAATTTCGTTACGGCTTTAAACTGCTTTTAAGTTTTAATAGATGTGTTGAGATTATGCATTCCTTACGCTTATTCAATATTCACAATAGAACTATCCTATCAAAAACAAAAATTATGAAGTAGAGTACATACTTTGAATTACTGACAGACAGTTATATTTTGAAAGAATATATCATAAGGACTTCATTTCTTTTCAGTCATTCCATGAAGTATTCATTAATGAACTGCTTTAAGACAGTTTGTAGTTGGAATCAGATTCAAGAGGTGACGTTTGAAGTTCTACGAAGACCTGGCTCATGTTTTTGTTTCACTTTTAGTTGACATCCCCCTTGCAGTAAAACAGATCTGTCAGATTTAACCTATTTTAAAAGATATCATCACATTTATACTATCTTGATATAATTATGAGCAATAGTTTGTGCTCGAAATGTCATCAGTTAATATTACTGTACAACACTGTGTGATTTATCAAAATAAAATCTTATCCATAATGGAGTGATACTCTACCACAGTGCCCAAGTTTTATACTTATATCTTTAAGTATTAAATATACAATACAATGAAATCTTTGTTTTCTGTGTAACATGATTGTATGGTTCTCACCTAATCATACTTTACTAATACACTAACATCTTTGTTCTGATTATAAAAATTCAGTGTAAATCAAATTTAGTGAAATTCATTAGATTACTGTGTTCTAACAATCGCCTTTGATCATACTACATGTACGATTTTTTTTTTTGAATTACTGGGCAAATGTTTTGTATTATTAACTAAAAGCAATAACAGGACGAAAACAATTAAAACAATAGATTCTATGGAATTTTGGTTGCATTCTGTTAAAGCGATCAACACACTGATTAACTATTTATAGTTATACGTATGTGTACACTTGTGTCCGTGAAAAATATATACACGATGGCTGGAATCAGTTTAATCTATGACTATTATCTGATAATATTTCTTTTGTGGTAAAGCACTAGAACGTTCTTCTTGTTTTATCCATATAATTTTCGTCACTTCGTTTAGGGGATGGCAGCAGAACAAACAGGTCAGCTTAATGTTGGTGACGCAATATTATCAGTGAATGGTGAAGATCTTCGCAACAGCACACACGACGAAGCAGTTCGTGCGCTTAAACGCGCTGGTCGAATCGTCGAACTCGAAGTAAAGCATATGCATGAAGTTACACCCTATTTTCGAAGGTAATTCTGAATGCTTAGCATATTTCAATTGCTGTAGTAAATAGTTATATTGAGATTAAGATTTATAAGCCCAAGTTTAGAAATACTTGCATTTGATACTTTTGTCTAAGTATTCACTCAGTAACTTCAGCTTCAAAAGAAACCCAAACCGACAACCCTCACAAGTAGATATAAAAACAAACTGCTATATGGAGGATGATAGAAAGGCTGGTGAATTCACGAATATCACCTTGCACCTTCAAGGGTCGTTGAAATGAGACAAAGAAGGTTGCACCTTTTAATGTTATGATAACTGTTTACTCAAAGTTTAATACTGGTTTTGTCTAAAATGAATAAATTATGATAACTTGCTGTTAAGTAGTTATATACATTTTTTATTTGATGTTGTGTTTGTCTGCTTTCTAAACACTGCTTGTCAGAGTTATTTGTTGACTTTTTTTGTTTTACTGGTTAACAAATTTTACAGTAGTTATTTACAGACAAGAGCGAATTGGTCCATTGACCGAATAGTTTGTGGTTGTACAGTTTTTTGAATTTTTTGCTATAACTAGTTAAGGCTAGCTGACGTAGTGATTCTATAAGAAAATCTGTTTCATAAAATGAATAATGAAAAATTGTAAAAAAACAGATTCTGCTCTAAATTTTGAAACAGTCACTTCATTTTATAAGCTGAGACGATTTGAAGTGAAGAAAAGTTGATTTTGTTTTGTTACTTCAGTGGCAATATAAGAAAACTTACGCGTTACCCTGGGTCTAGTATTAAAAATGAATTGATAAATAAAATAAATGCGGCATTTGAAAAATCGGTCCTCTCTTTTTGCGTGATAGAAAAGTAAATGATTTATGAAAGTAAATGAACGAAGGAAACTGCCTCCGGTAAGCTGCTAAACTATCCACAAAGCAATGAAATTCCCACTCTGCAATAAGCACTAGAAGATAGCTGTTACTTTAACATTATTAGCTGGGGTCGCAGTGACTGTGTCAGTTACTTCACTAATAAGAGAATCACCGTAAACTAAGCGATGCTTGTGGTATAATTTTTAGTTTGCTGGGTGGTTACATCTGTTTGCTACAGGTACAGGAATACAGGGATAATACCTCTTCAATCGAAATTATTTCTTAATGAATGATTTATTTAAAAACAGAAGCTTTCTTATTAACAATAGATGGTGGTATAGTGGTATGAAGTAGAGATTTTCAAGGAGAAAAATCTCTTAAGTAATATGTGTGAAGTAGAGTTACTATAAGTTCATTATTTTACAGGAAGATTAATTTCATGATGGATTAATATGAGTTGTAAAGAGGCCAATGAACTCGAACACTGTAAAATAAACGCCTTTTTTCTAGTTTAGTACTCACTATCAATATATACATTTGAAAATAATACGTGATAGTAGGCGAAACCTATAGGTTATATGGAAAAATATGATATTATTTAGGTGCTAGATTACAACCAATAGTTTACAGAACCAACCAGTCAGTCATATGGGGCAACTCTTAATGCCTCATAGCCGATTTCATTTAAATTTTATTTAAACAGTGAAAAAGCAGAACAACTGTAAAAATAAACCCAGTTTCTTGTGTAAAACATTGTTTAGTACTGTCAGCTACTAACTTTTTATACCAGCTAGGCATCATAGAATTGAAGGGATGTATAAATTTGCCTTGTTTATTCGATGTTTCACTTTTGCGTTGAATCCCTGACGTTTTTCTGCTTAAATGTATTTCAAAATAATGAAGCATATTGCGCCTAATTCGACACAATCAGGTGGTGTTTTAATATGTTTTGATTGACTCTTCTAAAATATAAATAAATTTATTTGTTTGTCCGATGTTATAGTTTATAACTTGTGGTTACTAATCATTTTGACCTGTGTACTTTCAGCATTCAAGACTCAAACTTCTGTTATTCTTAACTTACTAGATTTACCTTTATTGCACTCCTAGTGTTTACGTTGAAATCACCATGTATTCCAGGGTTTTCGCTTTAACGATAGTAAAAATTGTTATAGCCTATTAATGTAAGTGTAGATGCAGTTTTTAAGATTGCATCGTTGTTGTAACCTATCTCGAAATCTTATTGGGTGTCTCTACGAGTTATTTAGTTTAAATACATGAATTAACAAGGGTGGAACATGAAAAAAAACACAGTGGTAATAAGTATTTGTTACTATCTTATTCTTTCTGCACTCTACGCTATTTAAAGTGATTACAAGTTTATCTTTACATCTGTTTGCGTGAAGGTAGCTATTAAAATGAAGTGCGCTTAAATTATGCTAATTGAAATAAATATTCATTACAGATAAGATTTTATGGAGTTATACTCTACCACAGTACCTAAGTTTTATACTTATATGAAATAAATATTGCATGTGAGAAGTACAATATGATTTTGAATTTAATTATGCATGAGTAAAAATATGTAATTAGGTACAGGACATTTCAAATATATTATAATAATGGATTTTCCCACTTAGTAAGGAGATGACGTGAATGTCTGGAGGCGAACTCCATTCATGTGATTTCCTCGTGTGTCTGGTTCACTGATAGAAATATGATATTCTCTAAACAGATATTTGTATTTTAATATTGGATGAGAATTAATCTGCCCCAAAAGAACACAACCTCTGATGTTCTTTATAAATTTTAGGGCCTCTTACCATTTTAGTCTCATTTTAATCAAGCACACATGGTATATCATATAATCTAATCTTAGGATATGATGGGTGTGCATAAATTTATTGTATTTTGTTCCACAACTTTCAGCTGCAGATATTCATCCGTTTAGAAACTGAGTTGCAATTGGGAATCATTGTTCAAAAGTCTGTACTTAAAAAAATTAATGTAGTAACTCAATGTCTCGCAGTCCGAGAAGTCGTCAAGTGAATGCTGTCTGAATTAGTTTGGAAACTGAGGCTTAATGTCTGATATTTGTTTACTGTAGTTCGATTCGCTTGATTTATGAGGATCTTAATGGCTAGGACACAAAAGACTCACCATACAAACACTTTTGTTATCTTTGATTGTCAAGACACTGAATTCACTTTAAGTAATTTTTGGCTTACTTTTCAATATTCACAGTTTCGACTGTGGATGCATGACCAGTAGGCTGTAGTGATAGACTGAGGGCAGTTTCACATATTCTAAGTTCTTTGTGAATAAATTCGGCCTGTCGAATAATTTCACAAGGGATTGGTGTGTTGTTCACTGTCATGAATGAATTTCCGTAGTCAACTTTACAAAAAGATTTGTAAGCTGCATGACTGCATGACGGAACCACCTAGATTTAAACTGTCACAACTGCTGATTTTTCATACAGTTTTTATGTCGCTCATTAGCGTGTTTAGTTTTTGAAATCAATATAAAATACAGAATTATTCAGCAAAACAGGGTATAGTTTTTGTCATTCCTTGTGTTTTCCATTGAACAAAGATACAGTATGCTAGGTCGTCAGTGGATGAATGCACAAGTGGGTAAACAGATGAACAAGTAATTAAAAGTGATCAAGAAATGACAAAAGAGAAGGCAGGGAAAGAAAGAATGAGTATGAATGATGAAAAAAGATCGAGTAACAATAGAATAACAGATATCCAATGTCTTTTATTTTTCTTATGGGCTATCAACACGATAAATAAAATCAAAATACCAACTGATATAAACTTATTTTTATATTTTATGATAATATTGTAAGAAAAATGAAGATAAAGGTGATAAGTAACAATAACGATAAAAGACAATTTTACCATGTACATTTGAAGCTTGCTAGATCACATATATATATATATATTTGCATGCAACCCTTAAACTGTTGAATTTTTCGTGGAAGAAGTGAGACTTTGATTAGTTAGTCGAAATACACAGCATCAGAATTATGAATAAAAACGGCTATAGTCAAGACAACAACATTAATCACAGATGTTTTACAAACGATGAGGTTTTGGCATTTTGTTTCTGAACTGTTTTCGTATATTAACTATGAAATCAAGTTTTTGCACTCCATACCCCTGTTTGCAAACCCGAAGATCAGACTGATTCATCAGTGGTTATGGTTAAGAGCTATGGAAGAGGGAAAATAAATCATTTCAGTTCTGTTTATGATCATGTAGCCTGGGCTGCCTTTCGTTAAGACACAGAGAATCAGTTTACGCTACACTCCACTGGCTAGCAGGGCTACTATTACTACTACTTTTGCTTTAAATGGATTTAGTAATAAACAACATGATAATTATTTGCATCATGATTAATCTTTTTGATGGTTCTGTTTCGCCTTGAATGAATATTACGAATTTATGTGTACATCTTGTTTTATGTATTATCATCATTATTATTGCTGTTGTTGTTGTTGGAACGTTGAACACATGAAGGGTGAACACACAACAACGCTAAATTAAGGCATTGAACGTGTGTCAGTATTTCCTTTTGCTATTTTTTGTGCTTTTATACAACAGAATTATAAGGAATTGAAAGTTTGCTTCCATACAGATTTAGAAGTAAATATAAGTTAAGTAAAAAGTAATCGAAAGATAAATAATAATTCCATCATATTTTATCGGTGTAGACGTGCGTATCGAAGTTGCAGTTCCAGTCTATATCTTATGGCGTCCGTGTATGTGTGCATCTTGGTAATAAGGTCAGGTGTAACTCACAGCATATCTCTACGCATACAAGCACGGTAATCGATTATCTGTCACTTACACAAAAATATTGTGCATTTGTGCATGTCTGTAGAAATTATTTTTGAAATCAGATCTAAAGCTGTTAAGTACGCATTATAAATTCCCCACGTAACTTAATTTTGAACAGGTTACCTGATGATATTCATATGTTTCACACATCTTGTTATACCGACAGTTTCTCCAACATTGCCATTTATAATGTATAAACTGCCAACTGATTAGGGCAAATAAAGTTTAAGGATGACTAATTTAGTGCATTATGATGTAAATATTTTGTGTCTTAGATACTTTTGATGTTTTTCTCTGTATATTTCAAAGGTTATA